TAAATAAATAGTCTTACAACCTTGCCAGCCTGTGTCCTGCGTCTTCTGACTTTTTATGAGCCTGAGATGTTCTTCCTGCCCTTCTGGTGATAATCCAAGATGAGGCGTTCATTTGTTCATTCTTTCATAGCATTGGGCCTTTTCTGTGTTAGGCCATGTCTAGGTACTGAGGAAACATTTGTGAAAAAGACATAATTTCTGCTGTCAGTGAACTTTCAGGGTGACGAAAGATAACATAGGTATAAACAAATAAGATAATCTCATCTCAGGCAGCATTAAGTTCTGTTAAGATAATATAACAGGGTAATGGATGAGGGGAACTTCAGATAGGGCAGCAGAGAAATCCTCTCTGAGATGGAATATTTGAAGCAAGGAGTGGCCTGTATGATTATCCAGAGCTGCCCTGTAGTCATACAAATCTATTGAGCACTTGAAATGTAGCTAGTTTGTATTACGATGTGCAGTAGTGTAAAATACACACCAGATTTAAAAAACTAATATAAAAAACACCAAAATATCTTATTAATAATTTTTTTCTGTTGGTTACAGGTTGAGATGATAATATTTAGAACATATTGGATTAAATAAAATACATTATTAATTTCACCTTTTTCTTTTTCCTGTAAAAAATGTACCGACTAAATAAATGTACTATGTGGCTTGCATTATATTCCCATTGGACAGCAGTTAGGGTAAAAGCATCCTAAGTAGAGAGATGCAAATGCAAAAGTCCCGGGGCAGGAACTGAAGGATGCTGGGACAGAGTGGGCCCGGGAAAGAGAGGCAGAAATGGGAACGGAACAAATTCAGTAGGATCTTGGTGTCGGCTCTCTGAGGAGGTGGGTTTTAACTTAAGCATAATGCGGAAGAGGTTTTAACCAGGGAAGTGGCATGGTATTATGTTTTAACAGACTCCTGCGGCTGATAAGTGGCGAACAGATTGCTGGCGGGTCGTTGTAGACGGAAGAATTCTGGGTTCTAATACTTCTGAGCCAATATGTCCTATATATTATCCTTCCCCCGGACTCGGTTTACCCCCGCGCTGTAAAATGGGTGGGCTGTTTGGGCCTTTCTACCGCTTCAGCCCCAGCACCTGCGAGCCCTGGAGGGGCGGGCAGCCCTGCAGGAGCGGCCGCGGGCGCCAGGGGGCGCTTCCTCGATGACTCGGCGCTCGGCTGGCCAGGCGCCGGCGCGTCGCCCGCTCGATTGGTCGGGTCGGGGCGGGTCTGAGCGCCGCAGGCCAGCGCCATTGAAGAGCTGCGGAGAGGAAGTGCCGCGCAGTGCCTGGCTGGGGCGGGCGGCCCGGGACACCGACAGGTACGGGCCGAGGCGGGGCGGCGCCGGGCGGCGAGCAGGGCCGGGGGCCGCAGGGCGGTCGTGGACCTGCGGTCGGCCGCTCCGGCTTCGCTTCAGACCTGGGGGCCCCGGCCCGCCCGGGCGGAGCGCTGCGCTGGGAGCCCGGGGACCCCGGCGTCCGGCCCTCCCGCCGTCTAAGCTCCTCGGGGGATCCCTGGGGTGTCCGAGCCCCAGACGGCCCCGAGCGCCCCGCCCTCACCGGGACTCTCGAGTCCGAGGCCCTGCGGGCACCCGAGCCATATGCTCGGGCGTCCTGAGCCTCCGGGACTTCGGCGTCCGTGTTCTGGGGAGTCTGAACCCCCGCCGGACCCGCACGCTTTTCCGGGTCGGGGCAGCCTGGTGCCCTGGGATCGAGGGGGTGTCAGGCCGCGTCTCCCCGCCGGAGCCTCGGTCTCCACGCGAGAGCCCAGGGTATGAGCCCCACTGCCTTATGCCCAAGAACATGGCTCCAGTCAGGGCTCCAGAGGGTCTTAAATATCCCCTTCTCCAGCCTTCTGGGGTCTCGTTCTGGGATGGGACATCAAGCCTCAAACCTCTCTTTACCCCTCGCCTCCCGGGGTCACACCCTGGCTGAGCCCCTCCTTCCGGGGCTGGGACGCGCGGCTCTGTTCCCTTCAGGCTGTATCTGGGAGGTGGGCTCTCCGTTCCCTGGAGCCGGGCTTAGGGTTCTGAGAGCAGAGGGGCGGCAGGCGGGCTGGAGGAGCCTCGCCTCCTGGGCAGTCTCCTTCCTGCCGGGCCCCCGCCCCTCTCCGGCCTCCGATGTCCGAGCTCCCAGGGCCGGCAGCCCTCAGCCCCGCCGCCTCCGCCCCCGCGTCCTGTTGCCAGCCCTTCCTACTCAGGGCTCCAGGGCTCCAGCCGCTCCTCGAGGGAGGGGCCTGGCTCAAGGTCATGGCCGGCTGTCTGCCCACCGGTAGGCTGAGCACTGATCCCCAGTGTCACCTGCCCCACCGATTAGGGGAGGCCAGGTGGGGTTAGTACCAGGCCTAGAAACCCTGATGGACCAGAGTGTAAAAACACTTTGGGATTCTGGCCAGTCTGGCGGCCCTTCCTGACGCCGGATTCCTTAACGGAATCCTTGAAGTGGCCTAAAACCTGGTCTAGATGCTTAGCAGAGCTAATGGATGCCGGCTAGCTTGGGCCTCAATGTACTGCACAGGGCGTTTTATAGTGTTTCTTACCCCATCTTCTTTTAATCTGTGCTTTGCATTGGTCCACCTTCAGGGAAGGTAGGGTAGGGCCAGATCTTGTGTACAAAGTGACAGTTGTTTCCCTTTATAAGGAGAGCACTTGTGGATGACACCAGAGAGAGTTTGTTGGCATATAGGACCAGAATCAATGGCAGCAACTTCAGAAGTAAAGAGTGTTCCAACTTTGGCTCTTTGCTTAAGTGTGTTTGGACTCTACATAGTAAGACTAGGTTAGTCAGGGTCATGTTTTGTTTTTGTAGGTTTACTCATTTAAAGTTATAGAAAGAAGTGTTTCCTTTACTCAGGCTGTTAAACATTTCTTATTTTAAGAAATTTGTTCTTGTAATCTCTTCTTTAAATAAGTGTATGCAGCAATTTTTAGCAGATTCCTGATTTTACATAAAAATGTAGCTTTAAAAAAGATCTTTGGGAAGAAATTAGTATTTTTCCAAATGCTGTTTATTTTCTTATATGTTTTTACTGTCGTTGTTGACAAATAAAAGTTAATCTTCTCTGGAAATGCAGGACACTTGACAAATAAAAACAGATTTTTCCTGGAGGTTAACTCTTGTAGAGCTTTGTGTTTGGGGGTTTCTGGTGGGTGGAGGCCTCTCAGTTGGGGTAAGAGTATCTCCTGGCACTAAGGTGAATAACTGGAGGTGGGGCAAAGTGCTTGGAAAGGATCCCGAAAGGGCCGGTTCCAAGTGGGATGCCTGCCACAGCAAACCTGGAGTGTCAGGCTTGGTGGGCTGGTGTCTGACATGCTTGGCTCAGAGCAAGATTTGGAGCCCACAGTTCTAACTAGGATCTACTAGCTGAGCAATCTTGAAACCCATTTAACCTTTTGTGTCTCAAGTTCCCTCATGTTAACTTTATGGAATACTAAAAATAATCTCTGTTTTGTAAGGCTAATAAACAGCAGTTATTGTAATGACAGCAGTAAATCAGCGCTGACTGTAAATACTGCAGCTGGAACCAGAGGATTTCTGTTGTCTGCCGTTACTGACTAAGGGGGTCCCTTGTATCAGCGCTGTCTGGTGTCCAGGTACCAGCAGTGCAGCTCCAGGACAGTTAAGAAGAACAATAAACCACTGTTGTCTCCCTTCCATTTATATCATTTTATGAATGAGCCTGATGAACAGGTTTGCAAAATTGATTTCGGGAAGGCTTAAAGAGGATCGGTGCAGAATATGAAGTTTACTGATGCAGTCTCTTAGGCCATTTTTGCCTTAATCTAGGAGAGGGTTTCTCATCCTTGGTACTATTGGCATTTGGGGCTGGATAATTCATTGCCGCGGGGGGGCTATCTCGTGCATTGTAGGAAGTTTAGCAGCCTCCATGGTCTCTTCTCACAAGGTACCAGTAGCAATCCCCCCAGTCGTGATATTCAAAAATGTCTCTAGACATTGCCATATCACATCTGGATGAGAACCTCTGATCAGGACAGTCTAGTCCCCAGGTCAGTCACCAAAAGCAAGCAGTTTAACGATCAGTTACATCGAAAAGATACACAACTTTGAATTGTAGGTAATTTTTGGTAAATTTATAAGTGACTGTCCCTTGCAGCTGGATCAAAATGCAGATGTATTGGTTTGGCCCTCCATTTACTAGTGGGGGCATCGTACAGTGCTTTTCATCCCATCTTTTTTTTTTTTTTTTTTTTAAATTGAAGTATAGTTGATTTACAATATTGTGGTAATTTCAGGTGTACAGCAAAGTGATTCAGTTACATATATTTCAGATTATTTTCTATTATAGGTTATTATACAATATTGAATATTCTTCCCTGTGTTATGCAGTAAACCCTTGTTGCTTATCTATTTTATATATATTAGTGTGTCTGTTAATCCCATACTCCTAATTTATCCCTCCCCTCTTCCCCCTTTAGTAACCATAAGTTTGTTTTCTATGTCTGTGAGTCTGTTTCTCTTTTGTATATAGATTCGTTTATATTATTTTTCAGATTTCACATATAAATGATATCATATAATATTTGTCTTTCTCTGTCTGACTTCACTTAGTTTGATAGTCTCTAGGTCCATGCATGTTGCTGCAAATAATACTTCCTTCTTTTTTATGGCTGAGTAGTATTCCGTTATATATATATATGTATATATATATATGTGTGTGTGTATATATATATATATATATATATATATATATATACACCACACCTTCTTTATCCATTCATCTGTTGATGGACACTTAGGGTGCTTCCATGTCTTGGCTATTGTAAACAGTGGTGCAGTGAACATTGGTCACCCCGTCTTTTCTTAAATCTGTGATTTGCATCCAGCCACCTTCAGGGCAGGTAGAGTAGGATATCAGCTTGGAAAAACTGTCTGGTTTTTCTGTTCATTTCCTTTTTTTTTTTTTCTTTCATAGATTCTTCTGTGACCATGAGAGAGAGAAATAATGATCCATGAGTTTTAAACACCTTGTCTTGAGGATATAGTCATGTTGGAAGGTCTTGTAGCCTGGGTTCTCAATACCTATCTGGGGAAATATGTCAATAACCTGAACACTGACCAGCTGTCCGTTGCACTTCTGAAAGGTGAGTGCATGTATCTTTCTTTGGTGAAGTATGCTTTGCAGATTGCATTTCTATTTTTTATGTTCTTTTTGTTGTATTGAGAGTAATAAACCCCGATGGACAGATGGCTTTGTATTAAATATGTGTAAAAGGAAATAATGTTCTTCCATATGACACTGATGATTATTACAGGGTAACTTAAGTATATAGCTGGATTGTTGTAGGTTTTAGGGGACTGTTAAATATTAAAAGGAAAATAAAAAGGAAGACCATGCTACTGGTGACTGTGCTTTACCCCAGTTAAGTTTTTAGTTTTATGAAGCTTTGTGGAGGCAGCCAGGATGTAGTGACAATGGCATTGGCTTCGGCTTCAAATCCTGCTGTGTTACTTGTTAGCTACATGAACAAGTCACTGAAATTCTGAGCCTCAGTTTCTTTAGAATGAGAGGGTAATGTACCTTTATAGCATTGCTAAAAGAATCAAGTGGAGTGACCATTGAAGCTCCTATCCTGCTGGTGTGTAATAGACACCCAGTAGAAGTTTTAAAATACGTTACCGTGGGGTCTTCCAACAGAATTTCTGAGTTCTTGTCTTGCTGAGTAGTAACGTACCTAAAGCTTGAGACATTTTAGCCTTTACAGGTCTATACTGTGTAAATGCAGCCCAGTGGTTTGATGTGGGGATTGGAAAGCGGCTTTCTTCTCCTCCTTGTTTTAATTTAAGTTCTGTTTGCTCAACTCAAAATGGAGCCCTTTAACAAATCTAGAGAAAGAAAATAAAGTCAGTTTGCAAACATGTAGAATCATAGAAAGAGGAAAGGAGGCCTCAGATATAGTGGAAACCTCCTGGGCTTCCTGGGAGTATGAGTTTTGGCAAGTGGACCAGGGCAGGTTAGTGGGGCTAGCAGTGATCCAGATGTGTGTACAGTCTGGGCACAGGGTGCAGTGATTTCCTCTTCCCAGAAGCAGCATTCTCTGGGGTTTTCTGACCCACCTAAACCAGTGGAGCGATCACAGCAGCAATAGGCGGTGGCGAGCTAGCACGGTTGCACCTCCCCACTCCCTTCCTTTCTTTGGAAACAGAAGTGGGTTCTTTCCTGTTCTTCCGCTTTTCCCTCTGCCCTTTCCTAGAAGGGAGCTGCTTAGTGGAAAGTGAAAGTGACCAATTGTCAGGGCGGGGCTGTGTTTAAAGTACAACAGTCGTGTCAGGTTCACCTCTTTGGTCACTTATTGAAGTTCTCAGACATACTGTGAAGCTAACCAGGTTGTACAGGGCAGGTAACAGGGCCTAGAAGGAGCAACATTGTTATTAGCAACAACAATAACAATATTGCTCATAACAGAGCTGGCTTTCTCAAGAGTGGTATGGTAAGAAGAAGGATCTTTGCTAAAGAAACGAGTAAATAGAAATTTGTGGTACCTGATAAATCATGGAGTCTATACTAATAATAGATTTCTAATCTCAGCAGTTTTAGACAGAACATACCTTGTGAGGACAACTGTGTGTATCTCTGAAGCTTTCTACTGCTTTTCTGTGCTTATCTCTTCTTCAAAATTATTCTCTATGGCTTTTAATGAACCTGTGGAATTTGAGGAATGTTTCTCTGCAGAATAGAAAAATGCTTTTTCTTTCAAAACTGTGTCAGTTAGGCACTCCGTCCTTATGGCTCCAAAGCACGCCACGATGCTTGGCCAGAAAAGTTTTAGAGCATTTGCAATGCACTGAGAGAATGGCTTTGTAAAGGAGTTGACACTTTTTGTTGATCTTGATGACATAGTTAAGCAGTGTTTGGGGGCAGAGGGTACTAGATAGGAATAAGAATGTTATTTCAGTCTGTCTGCAAATATTTACAGATGCTTTGGAAGATGCAAAGGCGACTGAAATAGTGGTCAAGGGTATGGATTTCGTAGCCAGACTGGGTTTGAATCCCAGTTCCTCCATTTACCAGTAACTTGGGCAAATCACTCAAATTCTTTTTTTCTTCTTCTGACAGTTTTATTGAGATATAATTGATATAGAGCACTGTGTACGTTTAAGGTGTACAGTATAATGGTTTGACTTACATACATCATGAAATGATTGTCACAGTAAGTTTAGTGAGCATCCATCATCTCATACAGATACAAAACTAAAGAAATAGAAAAAACGTTTTTTCTTGTGATGAGAACTCTTAGGATTTACTCTCAACTTTCATATATAACATATAAGTTAACTATATTTATCATGTTGTACATTACATCCTTAGTACTGAATCACTCAAATTCTACTAAGAATTAAATAGAAAATTAAATATTAAAATTGCTTTAGTCTCCCTTTCTGCAAGTTGGAGGTAATATTAACTATCTCATAAGGTTCTAAGAACTAAACACATTAATGTAGGTTCAGAGAGCTTGGTCCTCAGTCAGTGTTAGTTATCATCATCATACGACCATCAACATATGATTAGCCTGGTGGGTTGGACTTCAAGGGTAGATTGTACACACATGCTAAAAGCAATAAAAATGCAAAGTAGCATATGAGTAGTGGAAGGACAGAGGTAGCACTTGTATAACATTTCATTTGTTCAGTCATTCGACAGACTTTCACTGAGCACCTGCTCTGTGTTATGGAATGATACAAAACGGGGAGACAGTAGAAAATACTTGGAGCTCAGGCATAGGGTCTAACCCTGGTTTCACCACTTAACAGCTGTTTGTGACTGTGAGCAAGTTACGGAAGCCTCTTCATCCCCTGTCCCTCCTGCCGCCAGAGATCACACAGGTCTGGTATGAACTCTAGTACTACCACTGACCAGATCTATGATTTTTAAGCAGACTGCTTGTCCTCTAAGCCTCAATTTTCTTATCTTAAAAATGAAGAAAATAATAGTATTTCCTCATATTTTTGTGAGGATCAAATGAAGAAATGCATATGAAATGCTTGGGACATAGTAAGATCTCACTGAATGATAGCCATCCTCATCTTCTGCCTCCTCCCCCCCCTCCTCCCTCCTCCCCCTCCTCCTCCCTCCTCCTCCTCCTTATCGTCATCATCATCATCATCATCGTCATCGTCATCATCATCCCAGCTCCATCTCTATAATTCCTGCCCTCAGAGAGCCATTAACCAGTCCTGGAGACAGAAATAATTGTACAGTAATACAAGGCAGTATGTATTACGTTGTTATACTAGAGGTACAGGCATAATGCAGTGGGAGGGGAGCCATTCATCTTGTCTGGAGGACCCTGAGAAAGCTATTCTGGGGGTGGCTTTGAGTGGGTCTTATCAGGATTTTGATAGATGGCCCAGGCTAGGTGACCACATTCCAGGCAGAATGAGGCGTGTGAGCAGAGGCAGAAGGCTGAAACCTACAGGGTGTCTTTGGGATGGTTTGGGGCCAGACGATAATGGCTGCCAGTGCTGGTTCAAGGAGTCTGAACTCTGGGCCATGGGCATACATTTAGATTCCCCTTCCTTTTTTTTTTAAAATAAGCTCTGAACCCCAGGTTGGCCCTTTAGATGAGGTTGGCTTCCCTAGAGCTGAGGGAAGAGGCTTGAGTAGTCATTAGGTATTACTCTAAATTCACCCCAGCTAGTGACTAGATTTCTTGTTAATCTGAGGTGAGGAATTTTTGGATGAGAGAACCATCCATAAATAAGTCTGCAAATTATCTGTCTGGAAATCAACAAACATTATTATCTGTAAGGTGCTTACCTATGCTGGGTGCTTTGTGGCCTGGTCCCTTGGAGGGACCTTTTCCAGCAGGGCCAGTTGTGGGTACATATGAGTGGGTGGGGAAGTAGGAAGCCTTTGATCTGTGTTTTGCCTGATTACCCTTTTTAAAAAAATATTTATATTTATTTATTACTTTTGGCTGTGCTGGGTCTTAGTTGCGGCACACGGGATCTTTTATTTTTTTCATTTGTGGCATGTGGACTTCTTAGTTGTGGCATGAGGGCTCTTAGTTGCAGCATGCATGCGGGATCTAATTCCCCGACCAGAGATCGAACCTGGGCCCCCTGCATTGGGAGCGCAGAGTCTTACCCACTGGGCCACCAGGGAAGTGCCTGATTCCCTTGTTTTTGACTTGCTATAGGCTGCCATTTCTCCTCCTTCTTTTCTGTGTGTCCTCTCCTTTCTAGACCACCTCCTTTGCTGTCTGTGCTTCAGCTTCTTTAATTTTTCATTGCATGGATTGCCTGCAGTTCTTTCCACTTCTCCACTCTGTATAGCAGCCATGGAAACCTGGGGCCGTCTGCCTTTGTGACAGATTTGGGTATTGAAAAATAGGGCGAATGATTCAGATTGCAAATGTTGCTCTTCAGAAGTTATATGCTTTCCTCCCTTTAAGTCGGTTTCAACTGATAAGGAATGTGTCTCATGTTTTTTCCCCCTTATGCTCATTTTCTCCCCAAGTGTGGTTATAGGGTTGTTTCTGGGCTCTCTGGGATTATTAACTTCTCCTTTTGGTAAGTCTTAAGGTAAGTGGAGCCCCATGTGAATAGATGTTCTTGCAAAAGTCTGAAAAATAAGTTGGGGGCATTTGCTCAGAATCTGCCAAAATGCTAGCTTTGAATACTTCTTTAGATGCCAATGCACAAGTCTTAATTATTCAAAGGGGAAAATAATTAAGTTTCTTGTATTAGTGTGTCTCTGGAGGAACAGACTTGCTTTCCTTTCTTCTGCGTTCTCTTACCAGTTAATGGTTGCTGGGTGGTGGTTGTCTGTACTCCCTGTTCTTGAGAGTACATTTCAGACAGATTTAAGTGACTCGGAAATTGACTTGTGTTGCACAAATGAACAACTTTATAAAACGGCTGTTTCCCCAGCACTTTGAAGATGGCGACCCTGCCTGCCTTTGTTTTTATTCCCAGTGGCCAGCACAGTGCCTTAGGCGCAGGGGAGGGATCAGTATGTACTGGGTTGGCCAAAAAGTGCATTCGGGTTTTTCCATAAAAACCCGAATGCACTTTTTGACCAACCCAGTATGTGTAAAGAGTTGATTTCCATTGCTGGGAGAGAGAGAGATCTAGCTGCACCCTTGTGACAAATCCTTCAGTCTGCTTTGGAGTCATCTTGTGCTTTTGGATATAAGTAATTATAGAAACTGGGTCTGAAAAGGACCTTCAGCGGTGGTCCTGTTCATGCCTTTGCTCTCTGACTGGTTATTACACCTGCGAGTGAGGGTGCAGAGGAGAACCTGCAGAGGGGGTCTCTCCAGAGGAGAGAGTATAAATTCCTCTTGATGACCAACTTTACAGGGGCTCTCTGACGTGGTATGGAATACACCCATTTTGGGGGAGGGGGAGGGTGGTGGGTAAGGAGAGCTTGTTAAAAATTGCAAATTTCTGTTTCAGGCCCAGGAGCCTGCATTTCATCCTAGCTGATTCAGATGCTAATGGTCCTCTGGTGGAATAGTAGCCTAAACTAGGGGTCTGTAAACCGGACAACTGGCCAGATCCCCCTGCTAGCTGAGAATGGCTTTTCCATTTTTAAAGGCTTGTAAAGAAACAAAACAAAACAAAACAAAAGGAGAATATACAGTAGACACTATAAGTCCTGAGATATTTACTATCTGGCTCATTAGAGTTAGATCCCTGCCTAAATCCTTCATCTGCTGGTAAGCTTCAGCTGTTATTTACATGTCAGTGGGCTGGTCAGGAAATTAGTACAGAGAATGCACATTGGTATAGCCTGGGTCTAGATGTGAAACTCTCCCTTTACCCTTCATTGATTTGCACACAGCAGGCAACTGCTGCATTTGTTGGATGAACATGTTACGGTATTTTTATTTTTTAGGTGCTGTTGAATTAGAAAACTTGCCTTTAAAGAAGGATGCCTTGAAAGAACTGGAATTACCATTTGAAGTCAAAGCTGGTATGTGGAACAAGGGAGTGGGAGGCAGTTTTGAGTCTTTTATCGATTGGGACGTGAAAATTGAGAGCCCTTGAGTTTGGCTCTTTTGGACCAGGAGGAGGCAGGGTAGGAAGGATAGAGTTTAGATCAGTCTTCAAGTGTGGTCTCTAGGCCACTAGTATCAGGATGATCTTGGGGGTGGTGGTGGGGAGGTCAGGTGGCCCCCAGACTTACTGAATCAGAGTCTCTGAGGGAGTGTTGTTGAACCTGCATCTTTAATATGCACCCCAGGTGATTCTTATGTTTACTAAAGTCTGAGAACTTCTATCCCAGATACAGGAGGTTCTTATTTTCAGAGAATTCATATTACTGAGAGACAGTTTTCTCTATTGAATGAAAGATGGGTTCTGGAACTGTATGCTTGGGTTTCTATTCCACATCTGCCATTTTCTGGCTGTGTGACCTTGGGGAGGTTCCCTAACCACTCTGTGTGTGCATCCTCATCTTAGGATGGGATAATACTAGTACCTATATCATAGGTTTGTTGAGAGGAATACCTGAGTTAATGCATTAAAATGACTAGAACAGTGCCCGGCACACTCAGTCGATGTTTGCAATTATTATCAGAGTCTTGCAGTTACTAGATTTGGTAAGGAAACAAGAATTATCATGGAATAAAAATATTCTGTATTAAGTGACCACTTATAAAATTAGTCCCTCTTTAGACACTGCTCGTCATTGAACAAGCCTGTTGATATCAGTCAGTCTTTCCCTTATTTTGAGGGTACTTATGTTACAATAAAGTGCAAGTACAATGCAAATCAGTTGCTAGGTGAAATAAAATAGAAATCTTTCAAGAGATTTAGGCTTTCTTGAAGTCAATTCAAGTCCTAGGTGAACTGCCAGAATCACAAGCAAAGGCACTGACAAGTTAGAATCTGAAAAACTCTCAAGAATGTTGAAACAGTGGATACTTCCAGGAGAGTTCTTATTTGACTATCAAAGGATTAAGAGAGGCTGTTAGGGAAAATTGATGTTTTCTAATATTTTGGCAAAAGTGACCCTTTTTATGCTTGTTCTGCAAAAATAAAATGTAACAGAAGTTATATTTTGCTGTCATATAAGTGTCCTCCCAGTTAATTTAGGTTAGAATTGCAACTGTACACTAATTATTGTTAAAATTCTTTGTTGTGAAAATTGGTGTATGGTTTCAGTTATAATATAAATTTTATTAAATGTAAAAAACTTTGATTTTTCTAAAGTCAAAATTAAAATATTTTTTCATTATTTGTTGTAAGATTTCTTCATCTGTTACTGGATTACACAGTTGATCATTTGGTGTTAATGATACTCTGTTATCTTAAATATAACAGATCGATCCTGCTCGAATTCTAGATCTTAGACAGTAATGATAACAGTCTGATAACATGTGTTGCTTTCAGAGGTAGACTGTTAGTTGGGCTGTGTGGATCTTTGAGAAATGGTAGAACTTGGGAAATAAGTGTCACAATTCTACCAGGCCATTTAGCTTTCCCATCAGCCCGAGTTCTCATGAAGAATCGGAATTCTTTCTCGATAGAGTACCACTGCAACGTGACCTACGTTTCGGTTGCTGTGTTCAAGATTGGACATATTGCTGAGTCTGATAACTCCCAATAAGTACCTATCAACCAGCTAATCAATGATGAACAAGAGATGAGTGTGTGCCTGCGGGCTAGTACAGGTGCCATGGGAAGAAAAGACACCCCAGGGAAGTTTACGATGTAGTCCTGTTGGGGAGGAGGTAATTTCCAGAGGGAGATGTTGCCTTAGATGTGAAAAAGTTACACTGACCTTTTTCCGTCTTCTGCTTTATTATGCCTCGTTCTTGCAGATCTCAGCCCACTAATGTTTGTTTCACATGTACGAAAGCTTGCTGCTTGTTTTCTTAAATATGGGAACATATGTATATGAATAACTGATTCACTCTGTTATAAAGCAGAAACTAACACACCATTGTAAAGCAATTATACCCCAATAAAGATGTTAAAAAAAAAAGTAAATGGTAATAATACTCCTTAAAACTAGAATACACAAAAATAGAATTTAAAAATGTGTGCAGACAGTTATCAAGAATTTCCTTTTTGCAGGCTTAATTGGGAAGGTAACCCTTCAGATTCCCTTCTATCGCCCCCATGTGGACCCTTGGGTGATCTCCATCTCCAGCCTTCACTTAATTGGAGCCCCTGAAAAAATACAGGATTTCAATGATGAAAAGGAGAAGCTGTTGGAAAGGGAACGCAAGAAAGCTCTCCTTCAAGCCCTGGAGGAAAAGTGGAAGGCAAGGCAGAAATCCTTTTGGCCATGAGAGCGGTGGTGGTGAGACTTGAAATGAGCAAAGCACTAGATTCTGCTAACACCGGCTCTTTGCTTTGTAGAACGAACGCCAGCAGAAAGGGGAATCCTACTGGTATTCAGTTACTGCCTCGGTAGTTACGAGAATTGTGGAGAATATTGAAGTAAGTCCTAATGGCTTTTATAAAGTATGAACACAGAAGGGATCGCTCAGGCTTAAGTGCATTTCGTGTCCGTGGTTGCTGTTTCCTGTGGGTTTAACTGATAACAGGGTGTCTGCGGAGAGCGCTGATTGCTCATGTGTGCCTTTTCATAGGCAGTGCCAGAGGGAAAACCTGAAAAGCGAGTCCAGCTCTGGGCAGACACAGGTTTTTCTTGCTTCAGTTAGTGTGAGTAGGAGTTTTCATTTCATTGACATTTCACTTCATTTTCTTTTCGAATATTGGAACCCTACTTGCTGAAGGATTTACTTCCCAAGAAGCCAGGTCACCTGAGTCTTCATGACTAAATCACTTAATCTCTTAGTCTCAGTTTCTTCATCTGTACAATGAGAGGGGTTGGATGTGGTTTCCAGTTGATTCCGTAGTGCACTGTGAACAGCCCAGTAAGATATTTACTGTCACTGATGTGTCTGGAGGCAGTTTGTTGAGTTTCAGTGCTAGGGCTGTTGGCCCTATTTTCTGCTTTAATTATTGTTTTGTTTGTCCTCAAAAACTAGAGCAGGGTTCACACTAATTTTCAGTGTGTCGTAAGTGTTAGCCCACACTTCTTACCTCCAGGGTTTTCTTGCAGTACCAAAGTGACACAGGCCACATGTTTTTAAGGTGTCCCGCTTTCCCCCAAAATACAGCCTGAGGTTGCTGGATTCATAACTTTGATAACATTGGGGGAAAAGTTCAGTACATTTGAGGTGACTGCTTTGAAATATTTTCCAGGCAGTTATTTATTTATTTATTTATTTATTTTAGCTGTCATTGATTTTTAAAAAAATTCCTCATTATTTTCTTTTTCTTTTTTAATAATAGCTTTATTGAGATTTAGTTCACATACTGTAAAGTTCACACTTTTAAAGTGTACAATCTAGTGTTTTTGGTATATTTACAAAGTTGGGCATCGATCACCACTGTCTAATTCCAGAACATTTTCATCATACCCAACTAGTAGCCACTTCCAATTCCCCTCTCCCTCCAGCCCCCTACAACCACTAATCTACTTTGTGGATTTGCTTAGTCTGGACATTTCACATCAATGGGGCTGTACTGGCCTTTTAGCATAATACTTTCAAAGTTCATCCATGTATCAGGACTTTATTCTTTTTATGACTGAATAATATATTCCATTGGATGGATTGCCAAAGGTATACAAAGCTGGAGTGAAGTTAAAGTGGTGAAAACAGACTTTATTCAGTGACTTCTGACAGTAGGGGAAGGAGCAGAGCTCCATTCCAGTTTGTACAGAGGTGACCAGGCCTTTTAAAGGGAGAATGGGGGCGGGGTGGGGGTGGGGAGAGGGCTCAGGTGAAAAATTACAAAGGGTTGGTCAGTGTAGGTATGATTAGGCCAGCTGTGTCTGCTAGCTGGGCTTCTGTCCTCCCAGAGAGAGGGGAGACAGAGGCCCCGTCCTTCCTGATGATTCCATTTCCAGGGAGTGGCATTTAGGTCCTTGAGTTGTAGGAGACACATCGAATAGGGACAGAGAAAGGGTTCGCAGTTCGAAGCCCTTTTTGGTAAATGCTCTAAGAAGGGGGTCGGGTGTGCTCTTGTCAGGCATTGGCTAGAACACACAGCCCTGAGCTTTTCTAGATGGAAACTCAGGAAGGGGATGGAATGTCCTGGGGACTCAGCCTTAGGCTGCTAGAAGCCTATGTTAAAATTTGGTCAGGTCTCTTAGGTTAGGCATTTGAACGGAGTGCTCATACCTAGAGTTTTTGCAGTTCCCAGGATAGACCACATTTTGTTTATCCGTTTGTCAGTTGATGGACATTTGGGTTGTTTCCACTTTTTGGCTATAAGGAATATTGCTGCTATAAACAGTCACGTGTATGGTTTTGTGTGAACGTATGTTTTCAGTTCTCTTGAGTATATGCCTAAGAGTGGAATTGTTGAGTCTTATGGTAACTATATGTTAAATTTTTTGAGGAACTATTTTTTTTTTGTTTTTTTGTTTTTGTTTTGTTTTGTTTTTTTTGCGGTACGCGGGCCTCTCACTGTTGTGGCCTCTCCCGCTGCGGAGCACAGGCTCCGGACGTGCAGGCTCAGCAGCCATGGCTCACGAGCCCAGCTGCTCCGCGGCATGTGGGATCTTCCTGGACCGGGGCACGAACCCGTGTCCCCTGCATCGGCAGGCGGACTCTCAACCACTGCACCACCAGGGAAGTCCTTGAGGAACTATTTTACAGTTTCACCAGTAATGTGTGAATATTTAAATTTTTCCACATCCTGATCAGGATTTGTTACTGTCTGTCTTTTAATAATGGCCATATTAGTGGGTGTGAAGTGAAATCTCAGTGTGGTTTTGATTTGCATTTCCTTAATGGTTAATGTTGTTGAGCATCTTTTCATGTGCTTATTGGCCACTTGTATATCTTTTGGAGAAATGTCTGTCCAAATCCCATTTCCATTAAAAAAATGTATTTATTTATTTTTAACTATTGAGTTGTAAGAGTTCTTTATATATCCTGGATTTTAGTCCCTTATCATCAGATATATGATTTGCAGATATTTTCTCACATTCTATGGGTTGTCTTTTCACTTTCTGTTATTATTTTTTAATTGATTGAAGCAGAGTGCTTTTTCTGTAGCCCCACTATAGGGGCTAAGGGGAAATAAATAAGGTCAAAATGGAAATGCCCTGCTGGTGTTCCTGTGTCCAGGTTTGAGGACACAGAGGCAAGATTAAGATATCATAAGAGAGAGAGGGACAGTTATCTAGACACAATGGTACTACTTTATTTCAGTGTTTAAGGTGTTTTCTGAAACGATTTGATGCAAGTATTGTAACTCTCTTCTTGAGAAGGCACTGATCACAAGGAGGTGTCATTCATGTCCAGTTTGTGATTATAAAACTCTGAGGAACTTAGATTATCGGGTGTGTGTGTGACATAAGCTATGCGTTTGTGTAAAATGCCTGCTGTGGTTTACTTAAGTAGACTCCTGCCTGTGGTATTCTACCTGCAGCAGTTGTCTAAATCTAAATGTGTTTTTTTTCCCCGCTGCAGTTAAAAATTCAAGATGTTCATTTGCGCTTTGAAGATGGTATTACCAATCCTTCCCATCCTTTTGCGTTTGGCATCTGCATTAAGAATGTGTCCATGCAGAATGCTGTGAACGAGCCTGTGAGTATGAAATAACGACTGCAAACCGGGAAGAAAGCGCTCGGTCTGGCGCGTTTAGGGCTCTGCCTTGTGTCCTTTTGTGTTATAGGTAATGAGACCACGATGATCTTCTCCATGTTCTTTGGAGGGTGTGGAGGGATGTCTCTTGTCTCCTTTGCTGAAACAGGGAAACTTAATTTCTTCTGACCTGTTCTTATTTAATTCATCCATTAAACATTGGCACGTTGTGTACACGAAGAAACTGAGGTGCAGAAAGGATCTTATCTTTGATTTTCTTCTTACATTACATGCGCTCTCGGGGTACGCTCGTTCCGTTTCATAGTTTCAGCAGCCGCCTGGGAATATTTGCTGATGGCGCCCGCATCTCGAAGGGCCATTCTCCACCCCTCTTCTGACCTTCAGATTCAAGGTCTCTTAACTGCCTATGGGACGCCTCTGTGGTATTTAGGCTCGTTATAATCAAAATGATCCCGTTATATTCCACCTGCCCGTTTCACTCCCCTGAAACCAGCTGTTTTCCTTCATTCTCTAACATGTTACCGAATGTTACAAACACACATATGAAAACGGGTTAGAGCCCTTTTATGTGCCAGGCACTGCTCTTAGTGCTTCACATGACTTATCTCATCGAATTCCCAGTAACCTCCACCACTGTTATCCTTGCACTACAGCCGAGGACGCTGAGAAGCAGAAGGATGAGTGAGTGGTGGGCTCGGGTCTGGAGCCCAGGTGCACCGGCTGTAGATCAGGGGTTGGCAAACTGTGGCCTGGGGGCCAAATCTGCCCCGCCTATTTTTGTAAATTAAGATTTAGTGCATCACTGCCACGCCCGTTCATTTACATGTTGTTAAGGCTGCTTTTGTGCTGCCGTGGCAGAGCTGAGTAGCTGCAGCCCAAAGCCTAAATATTTGCTCTCTGGCCCTTTACAGAACAGGTTTGCCAACGCTGCTTCAGAGCACGTGTTCTTACCCATGACGCTAGTCCCTAGAAGCCTGTGCTCATCCCTTCCCTTCTTATTCCTCAGTTTCCATATGCATTTGGTCACAGTGTCCTGCCAGTTTTTCCCGCACAATGTCTCAAATGTGGCTCTTACGCTTATCCTCGCCGCGGCTGTCTGAGTTCAGCATCCTGCCAGCTTCTGCCTTGCTCAGTAAAGTCCTGACTTCCGTGACCTCCTTGCTTCCATCCTAGGCTCTTGATTAGTTCTGTGCCAATGCTTCTCAACCTTTCCCACGTCACGGCACACAGAGAAGGATCATGGTATTTGTACAGGACACTGGGGCAAATGGATGTGGCTGCTTGGGGCTGGAGGTGCTTAGCTCAGAGTAACCAAATACAGTGGACCCTCGAACAACATGGGTTTGAACTGTGCAGGTCCACTTAGATGCAGATTTCTTTCACTAAATACATACCACAGTATTACGTGATCCTTGGATGTAGTACCTCGAATGTGGAGGGCTGACTATAAAGTTATACGTGGATTTTCCACTTCGCGGAGGGTCGGCGCCCCTAACTCCCATGTTGTTCAAGGGTCGCTGTATTCCTAAAATGTAACTCGATCATATAAACTGGCTCATTATCTTGACACACCCATGACTCCGTCGGGGGAAGCTCCACTTTGCACTGTTGCTAGAGTTCTGTTTCTAAAACCCATACTGTGTCCTGGTGTGCATGCCTGCATCAAAACTCTCAGTGGCTCCAAGTCCCTTCAAGTATGATATCCAAACTCCTTAATATGACAAACTTCTTATTGTATTTGTTTCCTAGGGCTATGATAATAAATCACCACAAACTAGATGGCTTAAAACAACAGAGATTTATTTTCCTTAGTTCTGGAGGCCTGAGTCCAAAATCAAGGTGTTGGTAGGGATGGTTTGCCCCGGAGGCTCTGAAGGAGAGACTGTCCCATGCCTCTCTCCTTCCCTTCCGGCGGATGCCTTGGTGTTCCTTGGCTTGTGGATACATCACTCCAGTCTCTGCCTCCATCTTCATATGGCCTTCTTCCCCGTGTGTCTGTTTTCTCTTCTTATAAGGACACCAGTGATTAGATTAGGGCCCACCCCAATCCAGTATGACCTCATTTTAATTTGATTACATCTGTAAAGACCCTATTTCCAAGTAAGGTCTCATTCACAGGTTCTGGGGTGACATGAATTTTGGGGAGTGCGGAGGGGATTATTCAACCTAGTACACCTAGTAACGTTCCAACCTACTTTTCTCAACACTTAACTAGCTCCTCACTTCAAATGTGTGTCCATACACGTGAGCTGATACTGCCCCATCCCTGAGCACAGTGCTGCAGTTACGCAGATGTGCTCGCCGTCCTCTGCAGCTGTTATGGCTTTTGTGTCGTTGGCCCCGCTCCTTGAAATGTGTCCCAGTCCCTCCTTCCCACCCTTTGTCTGAAACGTACACATCTTTTGATATTCATCTGCACAGTGACATTTTCTCTTTGTTTGCTCGTGGCATCTCATATATTCTTCCTCTGCTTCCCTCTGCTTAATTAAAATTATTTGCATGTTTGTATTCCCAGTTAGTTAGATTCTGAACTCTGTAACCATGTTTTCATTCAGTTTTGTATCCTCAGCACCATGCAAAGCACCCGGTGCATGATTCTTCACAAATGGCCTGTTGAATGAATGGATAAATTTGTGAATAAAGAATCATCTTTTCCTCCCTGTCTTCCCTCAGGTACAGAAATTAATGCGGAAAAAGCAGTTAGATGTGGCAGAGTTTAGCATCTATTGGGATGTCGATTGCACTTTATTGGGGGATTTGCCTCAGGTGGAGTTACAGGTATGATTGTGGCAGGGCTTTGTTATAACCCAGCACGGCAGTAAAGTGGTGTAGTATTGTTGGCACATAAGGTTTTGTTCTCTGCGTCTCTGTTCCCATTCCCACCCCCTCTCCCTGCATAGGCGTTCGCTCTCGAGTGTGTATGCTTGAGGTACTTGCTGTGTCTGTAACTCTGAACAATATATAGAGATTTATGTATGTTTTACATTTATAGTGTATTATTGATTTCTTTGTTTGCTTTTTTTCACTTAAATCTCTGTTTTTAAGATTGATCAGTATTGCTGCTTATACTTCTGATTCATTGCTTCTGACTATTACATGGTATTCCACTGCATGCACTTAACATATTAGCATTCTCCACTCTCTTAGCCACCAGTGTACTAAGCATCCAGATTTTTAATGAATGAAGCACCAGATCTGGTTCTTAAAGAAGAGCTTTCTTACAACATTTTATGTTGAAATTTCACCTTCGGTGGCATTCCTTTAAGAAAGGAATACTTAGAAAGTCATTATAAATCATTGGATATAAAGTATTACTGTTTGTGAAGGATATTTTAAAAAACTCAGTTTAATCTTTTTGTAAAGAAATTGTAGGTGGTTTAAGTGAAATGGAGAAAAAGGACTCATATTTCCCTCAACCATGATTATCTTTGGCTTGCATGCTATTGTGCAGAATGGTTTTTGTTTTGCTAATTTGATTAAATAAATACTGTGCATCCATACAGTAGAACAGTATGCAACTATAAAAATAAAGGCAAAGATCTTTATGATGAATACGTAATAGTCTCTAAGATACAGTATTATGTTTAAAAAACCAAGATAAAAGAGCATATATATGCCATTTGTGTAAGAATGGTTTAAAAAACCAGAAAACTAGCATTTGGCTGACTATGTACAGAATGCTTCTGGTGGAGTACATAAGAAACTGGTGTCATTGGTTGCCTGTGAGTAGGGTAACTGGGTGGCTGGAGGATGGGAGTAGGAAGGAGCGGTTGCACTTCTTTTGCCTTTTAAATTTTAAACCACGTGGATGTATTACCTAGTGTATTACCTGTAAGAAATATAAATAAAAATTTTAAAATGCTAGAGAGCTTTAGATTCCCTGTTTTATCCTGCTTTTGGATTCTGATATAATATGCTGTAGATTAGACAGCATTCCAGCAGGTGACTTGATCCTGAAAACATTTGCTATGATGACAGCCATTCTTGTGACACTCAGGAGGCCATGGACAAGAGCAAGGAGAGTCGAAATCATCACTACATCTTGGAGCCTGTGTGCGTGTCTGCTCTTCTGAAGAGAAACTGTTCTAAAGAGCCTCTGAGGTCTCGGCACAGTCCCCGTATTGAATGTGATATTCATCTGGAGACCATTCCCTTGAAACTCTCTCAGGTTCCCTGTTTCTCCCTGTAACTATCGGACTGGTAACTGGGGTGAAGGAAGCGTGTTGATAGAAGGGTCTGGATACTTCGAGGTCCCCTTGTGGGAAAGGAAGTGTGCATGAGACCAGGCTGTGGTGGGTGCAGAACCCACTGTCTTTATACAGTCGGATTGGGTGGGTCTCACGTTAGTTTTGATTTGATATTTTAAGTGCTAAACAAAGAGTACAAGGGAGATAGTAAATTTACGTACTTGACTGACTCTTCAGAGAGACGTTGACACTTGGTGCCAGAGTTTAGTCTTGCAGTTTGCTCTGGATTTCAGCTCAGTGGGTTGACTAATATGACTTGTTCCTGTGACGTATATGTCTTAACTGAGCAAAGGAAACAAACCAATTCTAACCTAGTGTCTCTTAACCTCTAATAAAAAGTTGCAATACCGGCAAATCATGGAATTCCTCAAGGAGCTGGAACGAAAGGAGAGGCAGTTGAAGTTCCGAAAATGGAAACCCAGAGTGGCTGTATCTGAGAAGTAAGGCTTGTCAACTAAGTGTTGTGTCTGAAATGCATTTTCTAGCATGTTCTTCTTTTGTACCTAGATCAGAAATATGCCTCACTGTCTTTTACACATGGTTGGAGATAAAAGTACAGTCGACTTTTCTGGGCTTTAAAATGCCATTTCTGTTGTTTATCATCATTGACATGCTACTGTATATCTCTTTGGTGTCGCGGGTTTACTCTTAGGTCAAGTGTAGTGGAATTCAGAAGGTCCTCTCAGCCTCATTTAGTAAGGAGACTGGCGTTGCTCTGGAGGGCTCTGATTGTGTGGTAAATACTTTGCAGCACTCTTGAACCTACTTCCCTGTGTCTTTTCTCCTAAGTTTTTTGGTCAGCATTTATATAGTACGCTTGATAACATCTATAGCAAAAATAAATCTTTTTTATGTAGATGTGCTAAACTTGACGAGTCAATATATTAAAACTTTTTTAAGATGCTGTGTATTTCCAGTCTTCCTTGAAATATTCCATTTAAAATCTTTAATAGTCAAATCCTTGCTGATTATCTTAAGATGGTATTTACTGTATAGCCACCACTTGATTTTCTGTGGTAGGGGCTGATGTTATGGGTGATTCAGACCAATTGAGTAATGTATTATAATCGGTGCATAAACTGAGGATCCAGTAGATTAACTTTCCCCATATGTTGAGGTTAGCCTAATATTATTTGAGTTTGAGGCATAAATATTTGGCTGACAGGACAAGAGATGTCTCAGAAGGGGAGTGGTGTGTTGTGGATTGCTCTGGGTCGATAGCATTTTCATCACTTTTATTGTAAGTAACTAGATGGTTATGAACTGTTTCAGCTGCCGAGAGTGGTGGTATTTTGCTTTGAACGCCAACCTGCATGAGATCCGGGAGCAGAGGACGCGCTGCACGTGGGACTTCCTGTTGCGCCGGGCCCGCGATGCCGTGTCCTACACTGACAAATACTTTACCAAGTTGAAAGGAGGCTTACTGTCTGCAGACGACAAGGTGAGGAGGCTGTTGTCTCTCATTTCTCGTCTCCAGTCAGAGGGTAAGGATGTCTCTCAAAGGCTGAAGAAAAGGGAAACTGTGAAGAAATAAAGTCTTTGTTTGGGATCATAGTTTTACAGGATAAAGTCGGTCTTATTAGGGTGAGAGGTTCTTGGAAGACCCAGCTTTGCCTTGGTAGGAAGCATCTTCCACCTTCTGTTGCTTGAGGAGAGCCGGGCCATGGGGTGGGAGGAAGAGAAAGGGGCCGTGGTCCTGCCAGGCCTACCCACTCCTCGCCCCCCAGCTCTCCGTGCGGGGCCCAGAGAGACATTCCATCTAGTCACTCAGGTCTCTTCAACACCTGATCCTAATTCTTTTCCTGCAAAGTCTGTAACTAATCTCTGTAGACTTTGACCCACATTTTCCCTAATCCCAATTGACTTGACTAACCTTGGGGATTTGGAGGTGGAGGCTAGGCCGAGGATGTGAAGTAGGGGTGAAGGTAAGCTTCTGTTTTAGCTATACCTGCAGGACCAGAGACCCTTAGAACCAGCAGTCCTGGAGCCCTGGTGTGAAGCTCCCTCCCGGCTCTAGTCTGTCTGCCTCTGTCTCCTGGGGGAAGGCAGTAAGGAGTGTTTCCTCCTTGATTTGTTTTGGCTTTGTGAGCATCAGTTTTTATAATAGCAATTTAGACTGTTTCCGGTATTTTGGCTTGCATACTATCTCTTAATTCACTCTTTCTTTAGTAAATCCTTCTAAGCTTCCCTTTAGCACCTGTCTTAGCTCGGGCTGCTATAACAACATGCCACAGACTGAGGGGCTTAAACAATAGACATTTCTTAACAATTCTGGAGGCTTGAAAAGTCCATGATCAAGGTGCTGGCAGATTCGGTTCTTGGGGAAGACCAACCTCCTGGCTTGTGGGCAGCCGCCTTCTCACTGTGTGCTCACTTGGCCTTTCCTGGGTAGAGAGAGATCTGTCTGCCTTCCCCTTCTTGTAAGGCAACTAATGCCATCATTATGGTTCCATCCTCATCATCTCATCTAAATCTGTTCACCTCCCATGGACCCCACCCTAAATCCCATCACACTGGGGGTTAGGACTTCAACATATGAATTCTGGGGGGACACATTCAGCCTATGAGAGCACCCCACTGTGGTAACCAGTGGCAGTGCTGAAGCCCTGGGTGTTTTCACCTCTTCTGCCAGCACCCCGGGCATGACCCACTCAATTTGCTAGTGCTTTTTTCACCAGTGTCAGGCATGGTTACTGACATAGAAACCTTATGAAAAGGATGGAATAAACCAGACCTTTTGTTTTGGATGGTTTTCTTAAAGGCACAGGCAAAGACACGGAGGGAGAGAAAAATCTAAATTACAGCTGAGGTGAGCAAGTAAACACATATAATATCCTTTCTTAATCATAGCATATAAGAAACAGCTTAGGATAGCTACCTCTGCTTTCTTTTGCATCTTTGCATGTAGCTGGCCACCGCTGTTCTTTCCTAACTAGCATGAAACAAATGAAAATGACCACTTCCTTGGTAATGTCCCATATGAAACATAAAGGAGCTGGAGGCCTACACAATTACTCTGTAAACTTGGTCCTCAGTTTCCTCATCTGAAGTGGGAAGAATAATAACTAGCCACCAACTTGAATCAATTGAGGTGACGCACGTGAAGGCACTCTGTAAACGGCCATTGCTGTGCAAACATGGGATACTCTGGCAGCCCATGTTCTTCATTTCCCATTTTCAACTCAGTACTGTGTCTGCTCCCTCTGTACTTGCCATTAGTCTCATCTCAGAGACCAGGTAGAATCTATCAGCGTTATATGGAAAAGCTTTTTAAACCAGAGACATAGCAGTTATGGAATTAACTGTTTATCTTCATTGTTTCGTGGCCTTCGAAATGTTGGGAAACGTTGGAGGCCAGTTGGGTTCCTTCACAGTACTGGACTGGTTCGTGAAGGTGTCCCGTTTCTCTGGAGCTATAATACCTGTTTTGTTTGTTTTCACCCAAACAGGAGGAAGTGTGTCGGATTGAAGAGGAACAGAGCTTTGAGGAATTGAAGATTTTGCGTGAACTGGTTTATGAACGATTTCACAAACAGGAAGAACTGGCAGAGGTAGGAAATCCTCTGTGAGAAGATGTGTTCTGAACCCAGTAGGCTCTGAGTGCCTCTGTGGGCAGACAGAGAATAAGCAGCGGTGTATCACTTCCTGTTTCTGTCTTCGAGTACTCATATGTGCTCATTTTTGATTGACACAGAGCTTACGAGAGCCTCAGTTGTATTCTCTGGGAGAGTCTCCTGGAGACCCAGAACCCAGCGGAGGCAGCGGGATGCTGCAGTACCTTCAGTCCTGGTTTCCTGGCTGGGGCGGCTGGTATGGGCAGCAGAGCCCTGAAGGGAAACCAGTCGAGGGCCTGACTGCGGAGCAGCACGAACACTGGACTGCTGAGGAGATCCTGGGTAAGGCAGGGCTGGCCTTTACTTGCCCTTCTTGGCTATAGTGAAAGGAGACCCTTGGTTCATAATTCATCTGTTATTTGTGAAATGGCCCATGGCATATTTCAAATAGGAAAAAAGTAGAAGGACTTCCCTGGTAAGTGCAGTGGTTAAAAATCCACCTGCCAGTGCAGGGGATATGGGTTCGATCCCTGGTCTGGGAAGATCCCACATGCTGCTGAGCAGCTAAGCCCATGCGCCACAACTACTGAGCCTGCACTCTAGAGCCCACGTGCCACAACTACTGAAGCCTGCATGCTGCAACTACTGAAGCCCGCATGCCTAGAGCCTGTGCTCTGCAACAAAGAGAAGCCACCTCAGTGAGAAACCTGTGCACTGCAATGAAGAATAGCCCCCGCTCACTGCAACTACAGAAAGCCTGTGTGCAGCAACAGAGACCCAACACAGCCAAAAAAAAAAAAAAAAAAAAAAAAAGACATTAGTAACAGTTTGTCTCATGTTCATAGAGTCAGAGAGAGGAAGTTTCAAGAGATACTTGTTTGCAACTCCATTACTGAATTTGAATATTAATATGGTTTCAGATCGATCTGAGTGGCAGTGATTGTAAGAGAATTAAATCTGAACAAGTTCAACAGTTTTAAACTCTGAGGCTTGAATACCAATCCGGAGCCACCCTTTACGCCCAGGCTGTCCAGTATGGTAGCTGTAGTCACAAATGGCTATTTAAATTTATTAAACTAAAATAAAAAATTCACTTCCTCAGTTGACTTGCCACATGAGCCACAGTGCTCAAAGCCACCTGTGGTTAGTGGCCACTGTGTAGGACAGTGCAGTGTAGGACAGTGCACTGCATTGGGCAGTGCTGCCTTATAGTGTACTTTATCATGAATTTGGCATCGTCCCTCATTTGACAGTAAGTTGATCAGGGCCCTTATAAAACAGTTAGGGTCGTTTCACATTGGTGAATAAAACAGTCACCCATGACTTTGGAGTTCTTCCCTAAAAGGGGAAAATAGTTAAGTAATGTCATAATAACTGTGATCAGTGCTTTTTAAATTTTCCCATGTGTTTTCTTAAAGTCTTTTCTTCCTCACATTTAGGCTCCGAGGAGTTTTTTGACCCCACTGCAGACGCCTCTTGTATGAACACGTACACAAAACGAGACCATGTCTTTGCCAAACTGAACTTACAGCTACAGCGAGGGACCGTGACTCTGCTGCACCAGGAGCAGGGAGCTGCCCAGATGAATCAGAGTGCTTTCATGCAGCTTGAGTTTTCAGGTATTGCCCCCAGAGAGCCACCTGATTCTCTGTATCTCTCTGGGCACGAGTGTCCACTTGAGTCTCATTATTTGCAGTAGTTATGTTCTAGAAAGTTGTGTGAATACTGACTCCAGGCTCCGAGGGGAAACACAAGGTTAGGTGCCTGCAAGCCTCTGGTCATCACATTCGTCAACGGATCAGTACATAACCTTGTCCTATGAGTGTGTGTGTTTAAAGACACCTTATTTTGTTATTATTTTTTCGGTACGCGGGCCTCTCACTGTTGTGGCCTCTCCCGTTGCGGAGCACAGGCTCCGGACGCACAGCCTCAGAGGCCATGGCTCGTGGGCCCAGCCGCTCCGCAGCACATGGGATCTTCCTGGACCGGGGCACGAACCCGCCTCCCCTGCATCGGCAGGCGGACTCTCAACCACTGTGCCACCAGGGAAGCCCCACCTTATTTAATATACGTTGTTGATTCATTACTTGAACTCATGGCCAGCGGTGTGTAACTCATGCCTGAGTGAAGCTCATCTACTACACGTATTTCCTCTGTAAGGCACAGCACTTCAGCACTGTGCTTGGAGACCCTTTTAAACAGCGAAATCACCAAGAAACAGCACAAAAATGCAAAAAACTGGCACTAAATAGACCACGCAAGGGCACATGTATGAGCTGAAACAAGAAGGCAGAGCATTGCCATGTTCAGCTTCAGCTGGGAGCGTGCGCTTCAGGTGACTCGAATTTTTGGCTGCTCTGCATATGTCCACAGAGCACCGTTGAGTATTATTTTGGGGTGACAAATAAATTTTAGTGAATAGGCGAATTTGTAAATATGGAGTCTGCGAATAATGAAGATCGACTGTATTTGACTTCTTTTTCTGAATTTGAATTAAAGGTATGTAAATAAATACCCAGATGTTCGTTTTCTCTTCTCACAGACAGATTTATTGCAGTTCATAAAATAGCCAGTTATCTGTGGCTTGTCAGTAGTTTAAAGGCAAATGACCAAAAAAAAAAAAAATCCAGTTTGTTTCTGACTTTATAATCGTGAGAGCTGAGAAATAATAAACTTAGTGTGAACTAGCAGATTGCTTGAATTTAATTGTAAAGTGCTCTGTTTAAAATTCATTCTGTTGGGAAACTTCTAATACTCCTTATAGATTTACATAGATAGACATATAATATGTAGATAGGGTTATTTTGTTCGAATTTCAAGGAGAAATAGTTCATGATATCTGATAGTCCTCTGTAAAATATCTTATACTTTTAAAATAATTAAGGCTATGATGGCATAGTATAACTCTTAACATTTATTTTCTGTAGGTGTAAAACTTCTAGCAGAATCTCTTCCTCGAAGAAACTCCTCCTTGCTTTCAGTCCGGTTGGGTGGACTGTTTCTTCGAGACCTGGCCACAGAAGGGACTATGTTTCCTCTTCTGGTCTTCCCTAATCCAGTATGTACAGCAGTGGGATGGCTGATTCATCCAGGGTGTTGGTGAATTGTGGTCTGTTTTAGGCAACAAAAGTAGTATTAACTTGATTCATTCTGACATTTGATCATTTTGAGATAGGCTGATCAAAATCAAATTGGAGGTAGATAAGTTTTTTGAATTTGTCAGAGAGCAAGTACTGGTGAGATTTATGGCAATGCCTTCTTCCCTCCCTGTGTTATAGCCACCTTGGCATAGTTGCTCTGATTTGGAAGAAAATGCCATCAGCACCACTATTTTCTGCATTTCAAGGTCAATGTTGAATGTCCTCTGTATCCGACAGTGATTTTCATTCATTCTGACCCTCAGTCACTGATAGGACGTCTCATGTTTCCAGAGTTACAAAAGAACCACCACAAGTTTTCTCTATAGGTGTAATTTTTTATATATAATATTCTTTCTAGACTAGAAGATCTTTGATCTTACTAAGTTGGCAAAAAGATGGTCAGAAGAGTTGAATCTTTTTTTTTTAAATTTATTTGTTTATTTATTTATTTTTGGCTGCGTTGGGTCTTCGTTGCTGCGTGTGGGCTTTCTCTAGTTGCGGCGAGCGGGGGCTACTCTTCGTTGCGGTGTGCGGGCTTCTCATTGTGGTGGCTTCTCTTTCTTGCGGAGCGTGGACGCTAGGCACGCGAGCTTCAGTAGTTGTGACACGCAGGCTCAGTAGTTGTGGCTCACGGGCTCTAGAGCGCAGGCTCAGTCATTGTGGCGCACGGGCTTAGTTGCTCCATGGCATGTGGAATCTTCCCGGCCCAGGGCTCGAACCCGTGTTCGAGCCCTGCATTGGCGGGTGGATTCTCAACCACTGCGCCACCAGGGAAGCCCAGAAGAGTTGAATCTTTAGCCCCTTATTCTTCCCATAATGTTTTGTCATGGGGCACTGGGGAGCGTGTGGGTGGGCAGAGTGAAAGTGTGAAAAGCTGTACACACTCAGTCCTTGTTGAGCAGTCGTTCATTAAGTGTGCTGAGTGCAGAGTAGCGCACTGCCCGTACCAGGCTGGGGAAAGGCACAGACTGGAGGACTCAGACTGCAAGTCCACAGTCCCCTGGTGTCAGAGGAGTTTTGATTCTGACTGTGCTAAGCTAGAGTGATGCCAAAGGGTAAGATGTGAGAGAGCGTGTGCACGGTGAATTGGTCCCTCTTGCCCTGACCTTTTTGCATTTTGTGTGTGTTTATCAGCAAAAAGAAGTTGGCAGAGTCTCACAGTCTTTTGGACTCCAAACAGCATCTGCAGACAGAAGCGATCATTACCTTGGTAAATTGTCCTACGTTCTTAAACTCATTCTTCAAAATGCGATGGTTATAGATCAGTAGTCTTGGTCAGCAGAGAGGGAGTGTGTCCTGTCTTGTGCCCAGTGGTTTGCTGTGTGGATCCCTGTCTGACTTGGAGACTGTCTCATGCTCTCCCTCCACCCATGTGTGACTGGGGCAACTCTCAGGGCCTCCGGGTCCTGGGTTACGTGTTGGGAACGAGTCCAACAACCTGGTCCTGTTTGAGGAGTCCTGTTGACAATTAGTCAATCCTTATTAGGTTTTCTGTTTTATAAAATTTTCATAAATGAGAACTAATTGGAAAATAATTGAGAAAATGTCTTTTTTCCCCAGAAGTCCTTATCAGTTATCAAGAATAAGATGATTATCTTGCTGTGTTCCATTTCTTTCTCTGGTTCTTTCCTTTAGCTGCAGACCCAGATGACCCATTTTTTGAGATGCTATATGAGAGAAATCCAGTGCACAGCCATTTTGAGAGGCGGCTGAATGTCAGCACGAGGCCCTTGAACATCATATATAATCCCCAGGCTATTAAAAAAGTAGCAGACTTCTTCTACAAGGGAAAGGTTCATACCTCAGGTTAACTTTTTTGTTTGTTTGCTCTTATGTGACTTTATAAAGACATCTTTATTGTCGTTTCTGGGACAAGGGTTGTTATACATTCAGGTGACCTGGTAGTGGTAGAGAAGGCCTGCAGAGTAAGTGGATAGGGTTGTCCTTAGTTACTGAATCAAAGTGGATGTCCTTGGAAAGTTACTCTTCCAAGAGGAATCAGTAGCCTTCATATTTTCTCTTTCTTTGCCTTCATTTAGCATGCATTTAAAATGCTTCCCATTCCATGAGGACAGTGATTTCCTTGGCTATCCAGGATATTTTAGGCCAGAGAATTTAGGAGGAATGTTCAGTTTCCTCCTAGATGACAGGATCAGTGGTTTGTTTTACTTGTTTCATGCAGCATTAAGTATTCCAAGGTTCACCATTGCCCTCTCCTGTGTCATCATTGATTTACTTAGGCCTTCCTTTGTTCCCAGAAAAGATTTGAGACAGTATGTGCAGAAGAAGCACTTCTGTTGGACAAGGAAGTCAGTAAAGCAGTGGTACTTTCCTAAATGTATCCCGTCTCTCCCTCTTCGTAACAATTGTTTTAGTTTTTGGTCCAGTGTTTTGAGTCTTTTCATTTAAACAGTGGCCATAAATATCTCAGCTTCATTGCTCTGTCGCTGATAGAATGTGGAAGGCATATGCTACTTCTAAATCCCAGCTGCTCTTTCAGTGTAAAATGTGCTTTTAAGAGTTTTGAAATATAGTTTGGGATCTTTCAGAAACTGGTTCTAGAAATTCTAGTAACTTAGGTATCCTTCCCTCACATACTGCCTGTCTCCACATGGATGTTTTGAAAGGATGTGCCTTTCTCGCCCATCTTCGCCTCATTCCTGTTACCCTGTATGGCACCAGGTCAGGCTGGAGTGAGGAACTGTTGTTGTACAGACCGTGCTCTAGCTTTGATGGAAATCCCTGGTGAGAATAGATGTTGCAGTGCTTTCTTTCACCCAGCCATGTGAAAATTCTGACTCTCCTGTATATTCCCCGTCTTGCAGGTTTTGGTTATCAGTCTGAACTTGAGTTGAGAGTGGCTGAAGCTGCCCGAAGACAGTATAACAGACTGAAGATGCAGACCAAGGCGGAAATCCGACAAACGCTTGATCGTTTGCTAGTGGGTGATTTCATTGTAAGTAGGCATAATGAATACTCTTTTTGGGGGGCGGGGAAGAAGAAGGTGTTTTTTCTAAGTTCTTTACTTACATAGATAGACATGCTTGTATCAATTACACTGATTAAGTGAACTGAATCTAGGAAGTACTTATCAGTTAGCAAAAAATAAAATCCCATGTCTTGTACAGTCAGGGTTTAATAAATAAAAACAAATGACCGAGACGAGATCATATTTCTTCCTTGTACCCATCTTGGAACACTCTCCAGACTCATCTTTGTTCCGTTTTCTAGACCTGACATTTTGTAAATATTTCACTTAAGAACACCCCCTTTCATGTACTGTTAGCAGAAGAAAAACAATTGGAATGATGCCACAGTTTTAATTCCTGGGAAGGATGGTCACTTTGTGATGCTAAGTGACCAGCTGACACGAGGATGCCGCTGTAAGTAGAAAGGGAGAGCCCAGAGCCATCTCAACAGTCCAGCAAAACTGGGTTTCTGAACACCAGACACACAAATAAACTCAGTGGATTAAAGGCCTAAATGTAAGACTGGACACTATAAAACTCTTAGAGGAAAACATAGGCAGAACACTCTGACATAAATTGCAGCAATATCTTTTTTGACCTACCTCCTAGAGTAATGAAAATAAAAACAAAAATAAACAAATGGGACCTAATTAAACTAAAAAGCTTTTGCACAGCAAAGGAAACCATAAACAAAACGAAAAGACAGCCCACAGAATGGGAGAAAATATTTGCAAATGAAGTGAACAAGGGATTAATCTCCAAAATATACAAACAGCTCATGGAGTTCAATATCAAAAAAAGGAACAACCCAGTCAAAAAATGGGTGGGAGATCTAAATAGACGTTTCTCCTAAGAAGACGTACAGATGGCCAAAAAGCACATGGAAAGATGCTCAACATCACTAATTATTAGAGAAATGCAAATCAAAACTACAGTGAGGGATCACTTCACACCAGTCAGGATGGCCATCATCAAAAAAGTCTACAAACAGTAAATGCTGGAGAGGGTGTGGAGAAAAGGGAACCCTCTTACACTGTTGGTGGGGATGTAAATTGGTACAACCGTTATGGAGAACAGTATGGAGGTTCCTTAATAAGCTAAAAATAAAGATGCCATATGATCCAGCAATACCACTCCTGGGCGTATATCTGGAGAAAACCATAATTCGGAAAGATACGTGCACCCCAGTGTTCATTGCAGCGCTGTTTACAGTAGTCACGGCATGGAAGCAACCTAAATGTCCATCGACAGAGGAGTGGATAAAGAAGATGTCGTACATATATACGATGGAATATTACTCAGCCATAAAAAAGAATGAAATAGTGTCATTTGCAGCAACGTGGCTGGACCTAGAGATTGTCATACTGAGTGAAGTAAGACAAAGACAAATATCATATGATATCACTTATATGTGGAATCTAAAAAAAATGGTACAAATGAACTTACTTAGAAAACAGAAATAGAGTTACAGATGTAGAAAACAAACATGGTTACCAGGGGGGAAAGGTAGGGGAGAGGGATAAATTGGGAGATTGGTATTGACACATATACACTACTATATATAAAATAGATAAATAAGACCTACTGTATAGCCGAGGGAACTTTACTCAGTACTCTGTAATGACCCATATGGGAAAAGAATCTGAAAAACAGTGGATATATGTATATGTTTAACTGATTCACTTTGCTGTACACCTGAAACTAATACAATATTTTAAATCAACTATATTCCAATAAAATTTTTAAAATAAACCCAAAAAAACCAAAACAAGAAAATAACTGGGTTTCTTTTTTTTTTTTTTTGTAAATTTTTAAACAAAGTTTTTTTTAATCTGTTCTATTATCCTTTATTGATTAATTTATCTTTTCACCATCTATGTGAAATACAACCTCGATCATATATATATATTTTTTTAATATATATATATATATATATATATATATATATATCCGACGACGGGCACTTAGGTTGTTTCCATCTCCGGGCTATTGTAAATAGAGCTGCAATGAACATTTTGGTACATGACTCTTTCTGAATTCTGGTTTCCTCAGGGTATATACCTAGTAGTGGGATTGCTGGGTCATATGGTAGTTCTATTTGTAGTTTTTTAAGGAACCTCCATACTGTTCTCCATAGTGGCTGAACCAATTCACATTCCCACCAGCAGTGCAAGAGTGTTCCCTTTTCTCCACACCCTCTCCAGCATTTATTGTTTCTAGATTTTTTGATGATGGCCATTCTGACTGGTGTGAGATGATATCTCATTGTAGTTTTGATTTGCATTTCTCTAATGATTAATGATGTTGAGCATTCTTTCATGTGTTTGTTGGCAGTCTGTATATCTTCTTTGGAGAAATGTCTATTTAGGTCTTCTGCCCATTTTTGGATTGGGTTGTTTATTTTTTTGTTATTGAGCTGCATGAGCTGCCTGTAAATTTTAGAGATTAATCCTTTGTCAGTTGATTCATTTGCAAATATTTTCTCCCATTCTGAGGGCTGTCTTTTGGTCTTGTTTATGGTTTCCTTTGCTGTGCAAAAGCTTTGAAGTTTCATTAGGTCCCATTTGTTTATTTTTGTTTTTATCTCCATTACTCTAGGAGATGGGTCAAGAAGGATCTTGCTGTGATTTATGTCATAGAGTGTTCTGCCTATGTTTTCCTCTAAGAGTTTGATAGTTTCTGGCCTTACATTTAGGTCTTTAATCCATTTTGAGCTTATTTTTGTGTATGGTGTTAGGGAGTGATCTAATCTCATACTTTTACATGTACCTGTCCAGTTTTCCCAGCACCACTTATTGAAGAGGCTGTCCTTTCTCCACTGTATATTCCTGCCACCTTTATCAAAGATAAGGTGACCATATGTGCATGGGTTTATCTCTGGGCTTTCTATCCTATTCCATTGATCTATCTTTCTGTTTTTGTGCCAGTACCATACTGTCTTGATTACTGTAGCTTTGTAGTATAGTCTGAAGTCAGGCAGCCTGATTCCTCCAGCTCCATTTTTTGTTCTCAAGATTGCTTTGGCTATTCGGGGTCTTTTGTGTTTCCATACAAATTGTGAAATTTTTTGTTCTAGTTCTGTGAAAAATGCCAGTGGTAGTTTGATAGGGATTGCATTGAATCTATAGATTGCTTTGGGTAGTAGAGTCATTTTCACAATGTTGATTCTTCCAATCCAAGAACATGGTATATCTCTCCATCTGTTTGTATCATCTTTAATTTCTTTCATCAGTGTCTTATAATTTTCTGCATACAGGTCTTTTGTCTCCTTAGGTAGGTTTATTCCTAGATATTTTATTCTTTTTGTTGCAATGGTAAATGGGAGTGTTTTCTTGATTTCACTTTCAGATTTTTCATCGTTAGTATATAGGAATGCCAGAGATTTCTGTGCATTAATTTTGTATCCTGCTACTTTACCAAATTCATTGATTAGCTCTAGTAGTTTTCTGGTAGCATCTTTAGGATTCTCTATGTATAGTATCATGTCATCTGCAAACAGTGACAGCTTTACTTCTTCTTTTCCGATTTGGATTCCTTTTATTTCCTTTTCTTCTCTGATTGCTGTGGCTAAAACTTCCAAAACTATGTTGAATAAGAGTGGTGAGAGTGGGCAACCTTGTCTTGTTCCTGACCTTAGTGGAAATGCTTTCAAATAACTGGGTTTCTGACCCTGTGGCCTGGAGGTGTGCTGCCGAGATGCAGCAGTAGGTGGAGCAGTCAGTGTGGCTTCTTTGGAAGGTGCAGAGCCAGCTGGGAGTGTAAGGCATGGCAGCAGTGTTCAGAGGAAAACGTTTAGGGGTAAGTAGTGAGGGGTGGAGAGTTTGTCCTGTTTTCTGTTTTTGCTAGTGTTTTGACACAAATTACAGCATTTAGTACCTTCTGATTATCTTAGACCAAGAGGTTTCTTTTTGATCGCATTTATATAAATCAGCTTTTACTACATATAATTTACTACATGTAGCTTTTACTACGTATAATTCTGTAAATTAGATTTTTACAACATACATTTTTTTTGATAGCATTTATATAAATTAGCTAATTTTAGTCACAGGGAAGAACTGTTAACAAATTCATGAATTGGTCTATTTTTTATATTTCAAATGTCAAAGCTTATGTTTTTCACTAAGGTATTTTGGCCTGAAAGTTCATGGTTAGCAATATCCATGAGTAAATAAAAATATTTGGATTACTACTTTTGTTTGAATTGTATAGCTTCTACAATACTTTAAAGTATTAAGTCCTATACATTTAGGAATCAGACCTTTCTTAAACCGTTGATCATCAAAATCAAAGAGCAAACAACCCACCAAACCAGTAATTTGCAACTTTTTTCTCCCACTTCAGACATTTGCCTGTGGTAATGTCTCAAATTGTTAAACATTTGGATCCACTTTTGTTTTAATCATTTTGCTTTAATATCAGAGACCATTACGTCATCCTGTGACCCTAGTGTGGCTTTCTGGAAGGCTTGAGCCCTAGCTGATAAAGCTGCCCACTGTCAGCAGTTGCAGTTCAAGGTTATTTAATTGTCACTTGTTTTATTTTTGCAGGAGGAGAGTAAACGGTGGACTGTGCGGCTAGACATTTCTGCCCCTCAGGTGATATTTCCTGATGATTTCAAATTCAAGAATCCCGTGTTGGTTGTTGTGGATCTAGGCAGAATGCTCTTGACCAATACCCAAGGTACAGTGTGAGTGTGAAGTAATGAAGACATGTCGTGGTAGATTGATGTGTCTCTGTGCTAAACCAAGTAAAGCTTACAAAAAGGGGTATTTAACATTTTGTAACTCCAAAGTTCACTTGTTGCCTTATTTTTTTTTTTTTTGCCGTACGCGGGCCTCTCACCGCTGCGGCCTCTCCCATTGCGGAGCACAGGCTCCGGACGCGCAGGCTCAGCGGCCATGGCTCACGGGCCCAGCCGCGCCGCGGCACGTGGGATCTTCCCGGACCGGGGCACGAACCCACGTCCCCTACATCGGCAGGCGGACTCTCAACCACTGCGCCACTAGGGAAGCCCACTTGTTACTTTTTAAATAATAGCTTTATTGAGGTACATTTGAAAATGTAGAATTCAGTTGTTTTTTGTATGTTGGTAAAATCGTGCAACTCTCACTGCTATCTAATTCCAGAACATTTTCATCATTCCCAAGAAGACAGTCTAAGCCCATAAGCAGTTATTCTCCATTACCAACTCTCCAAGCCCTTGCTAACCACCAATCTTTCTATCCCTGTGGATTTGCCTATTCTGAACAGTTCATGTGAATAGAGTCATATAACATGTGGTCTTTTATGTCTGACTTCTTTCACTTGGCATTAGTGTTTTCAAGGTTTATCCATGTTGTAGCCTGTATCAATACTTCATTCCTATTTGTGACTGAATAATGTTCCCTTGTATGAACATTGCTACATTTTATTTATCCATTCATCAGTTGGTGGACATTTGGGTTGTTTTCCACTTTTTGGCTATTATGAGTACTGCTGGTATGAACATTCATGTATAGGCTTTTGTGTAGACGTATATTTTCAGTCTCTTGGGTTTGTTTCAGTGTAGAATTGCTGGGTCATATGGCAGCTCTGTGTTTAACATTTTGAGGAACTGCCAGATTGTAAAATGGCTGCACCTTTTTACTGTCTCACCAGCATTGTATGAGAGTTCCAGTTTCTCTATATCCTTGTCAACGTTTGTTATTATCTGTCTTTTGGATTATAGCCATTTTTATGACTGTGTAGTAGTATCTCACTGTGGTTTTTATTTGTATTTCTTGTGTAACGTTTTGTATTTTAATAAACATCATTTCTCAGTACATAATTTCTGGAATAGAGATTTAATCTATTTAGGGATATTAGGGACATACATAAAAAGACTCCTGGAAGGTAATTTCATTACTATTATTAGATCCAAAAAATAGTCATTGTTTACCTTGAGATGGGAGGGAGGAAAGAGAGGATTCATTGGGTAAAAGAGATTGAGGAAGCTCATCAAACAATCTCAACCGTGTCCTGTTTTACTGAAAGACCAGAAGAGGAGAAGAGGGTAGAGGATTTGAGCTGGAGTGGAAAGGTCTGGCCCTAAGGGGCATGTGAAAAGGGAGTTGTATCTGAAGAAAAGGATCACACAACCACAGAAAGCACCTACTTGAATTTATAAAACACAGACATGGAATACAGACATACCCAGCCCAGCGATGTGTTTTTGTTGTCTCGGCACTGCTTGGGTGCAGAAGAGAGGGGGGTTAAGAGTGTGAATTCAGGGGCTAGAACATGACATATTGAGCAGTTGCTGCTTGCCAAACATTGATCTAGGCACTAGGGGTATTGTGTTGAGGAAGGTAGAGGAGACCTCTTCTTTTAGAACATTCTAGTGGGGGGAGGGGACAAAATGAACACATAGACGAATACAGGAAAAAGTAAACAAATATGGAGAGTGACGTAAGAGGGGTTGGTGATGGCAGCTCACGCAGTGCAGCTCAGATTGGGGGTGGGGGCAGTTTCAGTCACCAGGTTGTTGGTTTCTGCACCCTGACATATGTTCTTAACGTTAGCAGGTCTCCATCTTTTCTCATGTTCATACACTTTTACTCTTTGTGTTTGGACTTCCAGATCAATAGATAAGTTTATGCTAAATAAATGGTAAATACAGAATATAATGCTTGGAGTTTTCATCCATTTATTTTTTAAATTGGGGTTGTTGATTCTCTACTTTTCTTAATTTTTACATTAAAGGGAAGGGGAAGGAAAGAGCAGACATATACTTTGAATCTTCTCTTTTTTCATCTGCAGATGACTCCAAGAGGAAGAGTGGGGACGGGTCAGCATCTGAAGAGAATCCGTTTAGTGATGACGAATATAAGACCCCTCTTGCCACACCACCTAACACCCCACCTTCCGAGACAAGCAGCAGCAATAGGGAGAAAACACCTCCATTTTCTGGAGTTGAATTCAGTGAAGAGCAGCTTCAAGCACATTTAATGAGCACGAAGATGTATGAGAGGTACTCGCTGTCCTTTCTGGACCTCCAGATCATGGTTGGACGAGTGAAAGACAACTGGAAGCATGTCCAGGATATTGATGTGGGACCGACCCATGTGGTCGAGAAATTCAATGTTCACCTACAGTTAGAACGCCGGTTGATTTATACTTCAGATCCCAAGTACCCCGGAGCTGTGCTCTCAGGCAACCTACCAGACCTAAAGATTCACATCAATGAAGATAAAATATCTGCTCTAAAGAATTGCTTTGCTCTCCTGACCACCCCAGAAATGAAGACTTTTGACACTCAGATTAAAGAGAAGATTTTTCCCCAAGGGGGACAGCGGGGAAGTTTGCAAGACTCGGTGATGAATTTAACCCAGAGCATCGTGGTGTTGGAGCAGCATACCCGGGAGGTTCTGGTGGAGTCACAACTCCTCCTGGCTGAGTTTAAAGTGAACTGTATGCAGCTTGGTGTTGAGAGCAACGGCCGGTACATTTCTGTGCTCAAGGTATTTGGTACCAACGCTCACTTTGTGAAGAGGCCTTATGATGCTGAAGTCTCCCTCACTGTTCATGGTTTGCTGCTGGTGGACACCATGCAGACATATGGTGCTGATTTTGACCTTTTGATGGCCTCTCATAAGAACTTGAGCTTTGATATCCCAACAGGAAGCCTCCGGGATAGCAGAGCCCAGTCTCCTGTCTCTGGACCCAACGTGGCCCACCTCACTAATGCTGCCACACTGAACGACCGATCAGCCACTGGTGTTTCTCTTGACAGAATTCTCACCAAAGAACAAGAGTCCCTCATAAAACTGGAGTATCAGTTTGTGAGTTCAGAGTGCCCATCGATGAATTTGGACAGCACTCTTCAGGTGATTTCATTACAGGTGAATAATTTGGATATCATCCTAAATCCAGAGACAATTGTGGAGCTGATTGGTTTTCTTCAAAAATCCTTTCCCAAGGAAAAAGATGATTTGAGTCCTCAACCTTTAATGACTGATTTTGAAAGAAGCTGTAGGGAACAAGGAACTTACCAATCTACATATGAACAAAACACCGAGGTTGCAGTGGAAATCCACAGACTTAACCTGCTGCTCCTTCGGACAGTGGGAATGGCAAATGGAGAGAAATATGGCAGAAAAATTGCAACAGCAAGTATAGGTGGCACCAAAGTTAACGTCTCCATGGGCAGCACATTTGACATGAACGGTTCTCTTGGCTGTTTGCAGCTTATGGATTTGACACAGGAGAATGTTAAGAACCAATATGTTGTCAGCATTGGGAATTCCATAGGCTATGAAAATATCATCAATGATATTGGCTACTTTGAATCTGTATTTGTCAGAATGGAAGATGCAGCCCTCACTGAAGCTCTGAGTTTCACCTTCGTTGAGAAATTTAAACAGGAATGTTTTCTCAGCCTCAGGATGGCTTCCTTGCATTACAGCCACTCTGCTAAATTTTTGAAGGAGTTGACATTGTCCATGGATGAGCTGGAAGAAAATTTTCGAAATATGCTGAAAAGCGCAGCTACCAAAGTCACCACAGTCCTAGCCACCAAGACGGCCGAGTACAGTGAGATGGTATCACTCTTTGAAACTCCAAGGAAGGCCCGGGAATCCTTTATCTTAGAAGAAAATGAAACATATGGGTTTGGCCTAGGTGCATCTCATTCCGACACTGTGAAGCTAATCTTGAACATAAACATTGAATCACCAGTTGTTTCTATCCCTCGGAAGCCTGGGAGTCCTGAGTTGTTGGTAGGACACTTGGGACAGATATTCATCCAGAATTTTGTGGCAGCAGATGATGAATCCAGAAGTGACCGTCTGCAAGTGGAAATCAAAGACATTAAATTATATTCTTTGAATTGCACCCAGTTGGCAGGCAGAGAGGGCCCTGGGCCTGAAGTGAGCCGGGCGTTTTGCCCTCCTTCTGGGTCTGCCAGTGCCAATAGTCAGGAGGAAGCTCATTTCACCCGACATGATTTCTTTGAATCTTTGCATAGAGGTCAAGGTGAGGAGTGTGTATCTTTTGTCTCATTTTTCTTAAAGATTCCAAACCCAGCTCGTGTAGATAGTACTTGGCTTAAAATAACTACAAAAACCTTTCTTTTAGAATTATCCCCAGTTAATATTTAAGAAATCAAAATAGAATTTTAATAGAATGCTTCATATTAGGTTGGTATGTTTGCAACTTTTTCCATTGATTACCATGTTTGGCAAAATAAGATTTTTTTTTTTTAAGTGGACCCCTTGGGTGAGTGTTCATTCACAGGGATTCAGTGGGTGGATTCTGTTAGAGTATTATGTAATTTGGTCAAATGCATCTGATTTTTTTCATTCCTAAGCTGTAGATCTTTCCTAGTTAAACATCGTAGTCTAAGGCAGCTGGAGGGATTGACAGAAATAAAATATGAAACTTAGTCTCTGCATGTCATGTTCTCCTTTGAGTATCCTGCCATCTTCTGTAATGGTTTGGTCCAGGGTTCTAGGAATAAAATGCCAGTTTGTGTTCTCGGTCTGATCTGCTAAAACCGAACAGTTCAATCTATTAATAGTCTTGGCATCCACAGAAATCAGGTAAGCCCTAGATGGCCTTATTGATTGGTGAAGAAATTAATGCCTTTGAGAACTTCTCCTGTGGTTCTCAGCTGTGTTCACCGATTGATTTACATATTTACCAAAAGATTGCTTTCTCTGCTTGGCTTAGAAGTTGTTTACTTAGAACCTTATATTGTCTGTGATTCTGACTGAGGTCTAATAAGAGGGATCAATCTAAAGCTGGACATGGATGAGCGATTTGCTTTGGAAAATGCCAGCTTGGGAGGTTAAGAGAAGCTTAACATGGACCCTGGCCTGGGTTAATGTTCACTGCACCATATTTTGAAGCCACCAAGTGGAGCATGTCATGAAAATAACTGTTACTTTTTGTGTATAAATTTATCTTATACCTCTCCTTGCTATGAGTTTTGGTCTTGGGATAATTACCAAAGTTTGTGTTCAGTCATAGACCCCAGGTGCCAGGCTAACCTGCCCTCCTGGTCTAGGAGCAACTCCTGGGCTTTGTTCTACACACTCTCTACTTAATCAGCAGGAACACATTAAATATGAAGGGAACACAGTAATATGAATGTTTCCAGTCTGTCATTTCCTCTCTCTTATGCCAGCTTTTCACATCCTGAACAACACGACCATTCAGTTTAAACTGGAGAAGATCCCTATAGAGAGAGAATCTGAATTGACTTTCTCCCTTAGTCCAGATGACCTGGGAACTTCTAGCATCATGAAGATCGAAGGAAAATTTGTCAATCCGGTGCAGGTAAACACGTTATTGATTTTTATGTCAGGACAGTTGAAATTATGTAATTATTTTACATTTATGTTATATATGTAATATTTATATTTTGTATATATAAAATGTTGGAAGGAAAATATATAAATTCAAAGAGATAGTATTCGTATTATTGTCAATAACTTCCTCCAATGAGCCATGGAATCCTTTTATCATGCCCTTCTATCACTGGGGAATCAGTCTTGTTAGCCTTCTTCATGTGGACGAGGGGCGAATTATATAGAGGAAGAGGGCAAATGCTTACTTCCATTGCCATTAAGAAACGAGGAAGATGATTGCTTAAAAAGTCAGAGTCTCTCTTTCCCAGGAGGATATAATTCTTGTCACGCTTCTGACATATTTGGTCCAGCCTGCAAAACAATGTGATTATCTGAGCTGTTGACAGATCCTTTCAAGGGAGAATTAGTCTTGCCCCTCATTGAAATGAAATGGTCCGGGGCTGTGTGTGTGTGTGTGTGTGTGTGTGTGTGTGTGTGTGTGTGTGTGTGTGTGTGTGTG